GGTCCACTGGTGGAACCTCTTCTAACCGGTTCGGTAGATTTGACGAACCGGTTCTACCGAATAGGTGCAAACTGGTAGGAACCCACCTCTGATACTGCCCATTATTACCTTTAAACACTGAGAAATATAAATCATTATATTGAAGGGGGGAATATAGAACCTGTATCTATCTGTTGTATTACTATCATTAAAGTACAGATGTTACTTGAAAGTTCAAAGTCATCAGAGAAATTGAATTTCATTCACTGAATTCATGCAATGACAGGTCGCTTAGATGGCATCAATGGACTAGCAAAAGCGCCCGTGGCAATGTGTGTGGTGCTTCAGATGCAGCTTGAAACTAAAAGGTTCACTAAATGGCAGGGCAAGGATAATTCTCTGCATTTTGCCATAAGGGCAATAATGTTTCTTCATTAATTCCGTACAAGAACTCTAGTACAGAGGATAGCACAATTGTGGGATGCTTTTAAAAAAGAGAGAGAAAACTATTTTACCACACTACAGAGTAAGGAGCTGCCAAAACATGATTATGTCACAGAGATACTGTGAATGTCCACATTGTAATACTATACAGCAGTCGTAAGTGATGCAAAAGTAAACGAGTAAAAAAATCTGGATTGTCTCCAGATTACCCACAAGCATAAATTCATTCACGGGAATGAAGGAATTGGGAAAATAGGGGGGAAAAAACCATAATCTCCTTTCCCTTCTGTCTGAAAAACCGTTCCAGAGATTTGCGGAAACTTCTAACTACAGTATGAGGGGATAAATATATGATAAAAACTACCTTCGTTCAGTGCAGATTCTGCTGAATCTCAATTCTTTCTTTGAATGAAAGCGAAATCTGGGTCCAGCTTGATGTGCTTTTAGGATTCAAAAGTTGCAATATCTCCACAAGAGAAGATGCGCGCACACAATTTTTTTTTAAAAAAAAGATAGTGTAGAAAATTGTTAAATCCCTATGCATACATTTACAAATGTTACACATATTGTAAGAACGCAAAGTTTGAGAAAGTCTCGCTAGTGTATTTATTGTGTATTATTCTTTAAAAAAGGTTTTTCTGTCAGTATGGCTGAATGTTGAGATTAAAAAATGCTTTGGTGTGTGATTAGTTGGGTATATGATTTATCTAATTTTTTTCCTTCCTACTTCGTCTCAGAGTGTAGTGGTCTGAGAAACATAAGACTGGAGCATACATTTCATTTGCCAATGAGATGCCATCATAAACCAAATGCTTGCTTAGAAATTGTAGCTTTCCTTCCAAGAGTTAGAGATTTATGACACATGAAAGGTTGCCAAAGTAGACATACTCATATCTCCACAACATCTCCTAGTAACATGAAGGAAGGATGCCAAGGTGCACAAAGTAGTAATCTAATATTGTACCACAAAAGAAACTAGAAAAAAAATGGCATCAGTATGCAATTTCTGCTGACATTTGGATGACAAATGAATTGTGATCCAGCTACCTGTTAAGTTTTTTAAAAAACAGAAAAAAATTGTATAAACTTTAATTCAGATGATTTTTGTAATGGTGAATATAAAGAACAAAGAAATGTGAAACCTCAGTTTAATGTTCTAGTGATTCGGGTTCCATTAAAAATTCTATTTTTGGTTACGTCAGTGTAGCAACTGTGAGTTGCAGCTTTGATTATGTTAAGCTACTTGAAATTAAATCACCTGAAGAAAATTCAGTTTATGCTTGCAGGAGGCTATCCTTTGTGTCATAATTTGATAAATAGACAGACAGACTCCATGTATGTATTGTGACCCATTGTAAAAGTTATTTTCCTGCCTATCCTTCGAGAACCCTAAGAATACATACTTAGCAATAGCAGTTAGACTTATATACCGCTTCATAGGGCTTTCAGCCCTCTCTAAGCAGTTTACAGAGTCAGCACATCGCCCCCAACAGTCTGGGTCCTCATTTCACCCACCTCGGAAGGATGGAAGGCTGAGTCAACCTTGAGCCGGTGAGATTAGAACCGCTGAACTGCAGATAACAGTCAGTTGAAGTGGCCTGCAGTACTGCACCCTAACCACTGCGCCACCTTTTGCTAGATAACAAAATAAAGAAAGTATATAAATATTAATCATGCTAATAATAAAGTAATTTATAAGAAAATAGATTTCTATTTCTATTTGATACTTGTTTCACTTAAATCCTTGGCTTACCAATTGAATACAACGTACGTATTAAATTCCTTTCCCATTGATACGTAGAAATTTTTCAACAGGCAGGTTAGAAGACGCCTAAACTAATTGTCTTGATCTAACTGGTTGGCATTACAATCTTTACTTTTCCACTTTTCTAGGATTGCAACAGACTCTCTTAAACAGGCAAATGTCAAATGACACCTTGGAGCCTATATTTATCCCACAAATAGCGCATCCCGGATTTGTTGTGGAAAGTAGTCTTGAAGAATCGGATGCTTCTGATCCTCCCCCTCCTTACGCTGACTTCAGTGTGACCAATCACGACAGCGCTGTTCGTCCTGGGGTTCTAGAAAGCAGCGTTTTTATGCCACGGCCTCAAGCAGTGGGCTCTTCCAGTTATGCTTCCACAAACACGGGATTGAAGTATTCAGGCGGTGGGACGTCCATGCAGCCTTGTCCCCACACCACCACCACCACCACCACCGATGAGAATGTTAATGAATCAGAAGACAGTGACTATGAGAATTCGCTTGACCCTACAGAATCTTCTGACAGTGAATACGCACAAAGAGATTCTCGATCCTTAGCACATGTGGATGGAGATTCCAGGAACACTCAGATCTCGCAGATTTAATATAGAGCTTAAAGATAGGACTATCTTTCCTAATTGTTACAGAAATATTTTGGAATTTAACTTTGAGGAAAAGAGCTACAAGAGGATTATTGTGCACAACAGATATAAAAAAAAGACTTTGAACTTATAGATGGCTTACTCACTTTGATACAGTTTTACAAGTTTTTGTAATGGAACCATGAAGATAATCAACCTGTACTGATTGACGAGATTCAGGATGTACTGGTAAATAGCAAAGTGAAATTTGAAACAGTTTGTCGCCATGCCTTCCAAAAGAAAAAGAAAAAGGGATTTCACAACTAAGCATGGTCTCTAATGATCTTAAATCAAACCTTACCTCGTGTACTATCATGCCTTGAATTTTAGAGAGGTTGTTTCTAAAGGACTTAAATCAGCAGGCTTTTTAATGATGAAGCCAAATAAATCATTGCCAGGAAAACAAACAAACAAACAAACCTTTATTTCCAAGAAGCCGGATTGGAACAAATGTGAATTATCCTCTCTGCATGTTCTTTCAATAGAGATGGGGTTTGTTTCAAATCTTTTTTTCTACAGGCCTAATGTAAATCACTTGACATTATGGTTGCCTTTTTATGTAGGAAAACGATTACCAGTAAATCATCTGTGAATGTCCTAAGCATACTACTTTGACGTTGGTGGATTTAATGTGACTTCGCCACACTATCCTTATTGTCTCGGTTTGGTTCATAACACATGAAAGCACATAGTGGAAGTGGTCAGTTTTATGTCAGAGTTTTGTATTAGAAAACTATAAACGCTGAACATTTAATGAAGGTGATAAGCTCTTGCAACTTAACTTGCAAAAATGCCCACACTTGCGCTTAACTTGAAAATGTCCTTTTAAATTTAAATTGTGTTTCTTATTGGGAAAGAAGAGGCTCTACTTTTGGAAGCACGAAGCAGATTCTGCTCAAAATATTGGATGCACTTATTTCTTTACTATATGTTTGCAGGATTGGTGGAGGTTTGTGGGTATTTTTTTAACCCCCATGATTTTAAAAAAAAGCAGTGCAATTTAAGCATCCGATTTGGCTTTTATTCCAATTACCAAATAGTAAACTGTTCAGTCTATGACAATGTGTTTTGATCATGAATAATTCCTCTCATTAATATCCAACCTCCCCCCCCTCCTTTTTTAAAAAAGATGTCAGACTTCCTCAGGCTAAAATCTCAATAGCTAAACAGTCTGAGATCTATTTATTATTAGTCTTCTATGTCTCTAATTAATAAAAAAAATAGCATTTAAATGATTTATCTCCTTGGATATTTGGGACTGTAAAACATTTCTATTCCACTACTTAATATATTCTTTGGCCTTAACACGATGCATTTTTTTTCATTGCTGTAGCCTGTTCTAATTAACAAAAAAATATTTGGATTTTATTAACTTTGGGTATACGAGCTCCTATTAGTGCAGTTTGTTCAATAAGTGCTGTTGCCATCTCATCAGTTCATTTGATAAATTTTTAATCTTGCTCAGAAACTTTTAAATGTACAACTTTGACAAAGGTAAATGTGACAATAAAATCTTATTTAATCCTTTATCTTTTAATATTTGTCAGCAGGGTTCCATTATAGCAAAATCATGTATTTGCAAATAAAAAGTTATGCTGCTTTGTTTTAACATGAAACCAATTTTTGAAAACAACTGCATGTTGTCCCCTACATTAGCAGACAGTAAAGACAAAACATACACAGGATTGTAGTATATACGCAGTAATGCCAGTGTTTAAATGTTCATTTATTCACGTCAAACTACTACAAAAATTATTTGCAGCCAATGTGATTTTTACTTCCGTTCTATTCCCAAATATCTTTTGTGAACGCATTCATTTACTATACATGCTATTGAAACAGTTGTTGAATCATGGCATCGCCTATTAAAAGGCATTTTTGCAAAATCAAAAAAATCTTGACCTTTAAATCATCAAGGAGACACTTTAGTACAAGGGTCTCCAACCTTGGCAACTTTAAGCCTGGCGGACTTCAACTCCCAAAATTCCCCCTCCAGCAAAGAATTCTGGGAATTCTTAAAGTTGCCAAGGTTGGAGACCCCTGCTTTAGTAGGTAAATATTGGAACTGAACACACGTATTGAAGCTCAGTTATATTTCTTCAGTCAGTCGGTCTGAAGCTGAAGAAGGCCCTATGATTTTTCCTTGAGCTGCGACCAATTCCGTCTATAAATGGTCCTTGACTTGCTAGCACAATTGAGCCCAAAATTTCCATTGCTAACTAAGGCAGTTGCTACGTGAGTTTTGCCCCATTTTATGACCTTTTGCCATGGTGAATCACTGCAGTTGTTAAATGAACCATGCCGTTGCTAAACTAATTTGGCTTTCCCCGCTGACTTTGTCTGTCAGAAGCTGGCTAGGTTAGAAATGGTGATCACACAACCCTAGGATAGGGCGACTGTCATCATAAATACATCCCAGTTGCCAAGTATCCAAATTTTGATCATGTGACCATGGTGATGCTACAGTGGTGGTAAGTATAAAAAATGCTCATAAGTGACATTTGTAGTGCCATTGTAACTTCAAATGGTCACTAAATAGATAGTCGTAAGTGGAAGACTGCCTGTATTCTGTCTGTTAAATTTTAACATCTGACCAAGAATGTCACTTTCAGAATTTTCGTGACCTGACAAATGCGCGCACAACAAAAGCGCGCTGACAAAACCGTGGCGAGAAAAAGGTGACGTCAAAATTGCGCCCGCAACAGAGCGCCGACAAAAGCGTGATTAGGGTTAGGTTCAGGGTTAGGGTTATTACGTTGTTTTTGTGTTGTTTGTTGAAGGCACGCTGTTGTGGGCGCGATTTCAACGTCGCCTTTTTCTCACCGCGGTTTTGTCGGCGCGCTTTTGTCATCCGCGCATTTGTTGGTGAACCCAGAATTTTCACTAAATATTTGAACCAAATACTCATAAAAGCACTTATAGTTTATATCTAATGCAGAAGTGCTGATGTTTAGCGGCCTAGACGTCGCACATAGAAGTTAAATGAGCCTTTCTCACATTGGGTGGGAATTATAAATGGAACACATGTCCAAAGTACACAATGTAAAAGAAAGTTGCCATAATTGAATCCCAACTATAAGAACCTATTGCAAATCATTGGCTTTTGGGTAGCAGATTCCAAGGAAAATATTACGCGTTTCTGATCTGGTGGGGGAGTGGGGGGCAAATTCATGCCAGAGACTTATTCTGAAAGCATAAGTAATACATATAAGAGCACGATAACCACAATAATACAGCATGAAACAAACCCTTTTTAAAAACTCAATTCTTTGAGGCTGGAAAACAATAAATTGGGACTATATGTGCTCCGGAAAAGCTTTTGTGTGCAGCCCTTCCAAAAGCTTATCAAATTATACTAATTAACTACAGAGGGAATAATCTAAATCAAATTTAGTTTTTTTGTCATTGACAACTTGTTCTGTGTTCTCCCCAATTACCAGAGTGTCTGGCTCACTCAATACTAAAAAAGTTCTAGCAAACTCTAAGCAATAGCAGTTAGACTTATATACCGCTTCATAGGGCTTTCAGCCCTCTCTAAGCGGTTTACAGAGTCAGCATATTGCCCCCAACAACAAT